GGTTAGTGAACATTGTGGTCATGTTTTTACAAAGGAAATATTGATTGTTGGTCAAAAATAGGAAAGTCCAATGTTTAGTTAACCCATGTATGCAAAAAGCAAGGCATTGCAAAAATGGCGAAACAGAACAGAATTTCCAGATGTACGACAAACAAGAATTCCCCAAAGACTAAACAAAAAGTAGGACTTAAAGAGCAGGTGGACAGGAAGGCAGGTGGTTGCAGGGCTGATGGGAAACAGCACAGGTGGAACTAATAAGGCAAGGACAGGCAATACAAAGAGGTGGGAACACACACAAAGACAGGATGTAAAAACAGAGGTGACCCAGGGGACAAAACTCTTTTTGACAAAAATAGAAGATCATAACTGTAAGGCTCCCGCAACGCCCCCCCCCCCCACGCAAATGTGTTTAATTGATTAGCGATAATCGTGTACGAAACATTCCTTCTATGTGAAAATCTACTTGGTGTTGATAAAACTGTTTCTGATTTCTTTGTTGGATATGTTGAGGATGGTATTGCAAGTTAAGGCAGGTTTGAAAGAAACCATGAATAACTTCAGAGTTCATTTTATGCGCAGTATGACCCTAAGGAAGCCTGTTGGGGTTTAAAATTATACTATAATAAAAGTCATGATTCCTGCTGATATAACCTTAAGTCCCCACCAAAGCATCTTTTAGTGTTCATTTACAGTCTCGATCCATTTACTCTCTTTCTCTGTTCGCCCTTTTTCCACTTCTTTTCTCAAACAAGATCCCATTGAACAGCAGCTTAGCTGGAAGTGCAGTTTCAACATTACCAAAGGAGAAGCCAAAAGGAACCACAGTCTTCTTTTCCCCATAGTATAAAGTGGCTTATGATTCACTGAAGGGCCAGAAAGAGAGTCTGTACAAAGAACAGGAAATGTGACCAAATGAAGAGGCTCAGGAGCAGAGGAAGGATGGGAAATTAAAGCATTTTGAGGGCTGTTGTCTTTTTCTTAAAGTAATTAAACATCTTCAGAAGAAAGCATTACCTCACGGTTCCCCAATGAGAGGAAAAACTAAAGAAGTCACATGACCTTAAAGGGATAGTTTTCGTCTTACCTGTAGTGCTGTTTATCAATCTAGATTGTTCTGGTGGCCGACTGAAAAAGAAAAAAAGGATTGAAAAACTCAACAGTAATGTCTCTTTCCAGAAATCATGTCCTGGATACTCAAGATGATCAATAGACCTTGTTCGGAGCAGTTTAATAGAGGAATTATTTTCTTTCTTCCGACTACACCCTCTAACTTTATCACCCGAGGGAAGAGTGCATCTGGACGAGCAGCTCATGATCCAAACGGATGTAAACAATAATGACTTCCCTTTTAGCATAGCTTTATCTTTAGCTAGCTGAATAGAATAGATTCCTACACAAAGCTACTCTGCATGGTCTGTAGTTTAAAGGTAGGGTAGGTAAGTTTGAGAAACCGGCTCGAGATACACTTTTTGTTATATTCCATGGAATGCTCTTAACATCCCGATAGCAATGAATATCTGAAGTGCTTTGACAAAAAATCCATAAAAAAATGTCATCTGTGGAAGCCGTAGTACTGTAAAAAGCACGACCAATCATTTTAGCCGGCCCGGCTAAAATAAGTGGATGGCCTACCTGCCTGTCAGCCTTCCATCTGTGCACAGACTTATCTCGTGCCCTCATTGGTCATGTGCGCGTTCGTGTGTGTTGGAGGAGGGGCTCTGTAAGGAAGTGGCAGATTTTCTCCGGTTGTGTATTTTCAAATTCTAGCGATCTCGAGCCGGTTTCTCAAACTTACCTACCCCACCTTTAATCCTGAGTAACCGGGTCATGATTTCTGGAGAGGGACTGTTTACTGTTAAGTTGTTCAAATGAATTTGTCTCTAAGACCAATATCTCCAACATTCGGCCATTCACACAAACACTTTAGATTGATAGATAGCACTAGGTGTAATGGTATTTTGATTTTGGTAAACTGTCCCCTTAACAAACACACATTGTTTGAAACAGGCTCACACAGGGTCGTTATTGGCTAGAATAGAGGAAGGTGTTTATATCTGTGCACTCACCCATATTCATGATTATAACTGAATACAAACAAGCTGCTTTCAGAACAACCCCCCCTCCCCTCCCTTTTCACACAAAACAGATGTATTAAGCTCACTGCAGATTCAGCTAAGTAGTTATTTCTCAATTGTTCTTTTAAATAACTTCTCTTGTTATTGAGTTAAAACATTAAAAAGAAAAGACACCATCTAGAGCACAAGCGCTGCTTTAATCCACAGTTTCTCTCCATCAAGAAAACACACACACACAGTTTAGCCTCTGCCAGCTATTTTCCTCACTTTGAAAATAAGATTAAAATGTTATCGGTTGTACCACCTGCACAGTGCTGCTGTGACTCTAGCTACAGATACAACACATCAAGCTTAATCCTGAACATGTGATACGTAACACACACACACACACACACACACACACACACACACACACACACACACACACACACACACACACACACACACACACACACACACACACACACACACACACACACACGATGGACAGTGTCCACACTACAGTGTGTTTTTTAACCATAAATTGTTACTCTAATGGAATAAGTATGTACAAATGTGAATAAGAGTTCTCTGTTTCAATAATGCAGTAGCATCCAGACATTGGGCCTTATCATTTGACAAATCTGCTGATATTTGCAGTTAGGTGAAAGGCTGACACCAAGTGGTAAATAACGGTTACTACATTATTGCTGAAACACTGTGTACAGAGCTATATTTAGTAACACATATTTTTATAGTATTAATTGTGTCATCTCTTGTGAAAAATGTCAGTGCTGTCAAATCTTCAGAAGGTTAACAGCAATTTTAGGCAAAGCAAATCATATACCAGGAAACAGCATTATTTGTGGGGAAAATATGTTTTGCATGGACCCTTTTAATGCTCATTTCAGGTTTCATATATTTATTTGGTGCCTCTACTGTGACATGTTTACATGCTTTAATGTTCAAAATGTGATTTATTTGTCTCATACTGCCTGTCTTTTCACCCACTGTCTGAAACCAGAGCCCAGTCTGCTCTGATTGGTTAGCTGGCCTGCTGTTGTGATAGAGATGTACCGCCCCTTAGCCATCAATGTGTTGGAAAACTAGTCAATAAAAGGCTGATTGATAGTGATGTCACTATATTACGGAAGTAAACAAAGGTGTCCAATGGAGGCATTTCAGGCAGGGGGGGGGGGGGACAAACTTTAGGATGTACGCCTCGGCAGACCTTTTAAATGCACAAAAACCTATATAACACTACAGAAAAGGGATAACCCAAAAAAGCACAATAGGGACCCTTGGGAAGGGGTATATATTACTTTTAAATATCAGCATGAAATTATTCTGATGATTAAGACCAATATATTTTACAGGCCCTGATCCATGGTCAGATATACAGAAAAAATACATACAGGCATGGTGGAGTTAACAATGGAAGAATAACAGTATTCACAGAATAAATAAGTATTTATTGACAATTGACCTATATGTGAGCATGACACAAAACACTGCTTCTGATCCTTTACTAACACAAAAACAAGTAGTAGAGGAACCTTTTTGAAATGCACAGGACAAACGACAAGCACAAGGGTTACATCCACTTTCACTCTCAAAAAAGATTATGCTAAGCATTCTTAGCATTTCAGCTCAGTTTTAACAATGAACATATTGAAATAGTCAAAAGAAAGTAGGGATGCACTGATGATTTCCAATGTAATGCTATTGAATATGTCTTTTCAGTAAAAAAATATGGGTAATAAGAGATGACGCATATCAAACGCAACCTGTAATTTCTTAAATCTTTAAAAATGACATAATTGTATAGCAGGTTAAAAAGGCTTTAAAAATATATATTTTAAGGAATTTGTGTTCACGCAAAGTTAGTGTGATGAAGGACTGATAAAGGGTTTATATATTATTTTATGATAACAAACACATTTATTTTCAAGCCACAGCAGGGGAATAAATAGAAACATTTTAAAAACCCTAACCCATCGGTAACAGACAAATCTTTATTCTAAACCTCGGTATGGGCTAAATCGTCTTTCTAAATCTTGGTATCAACCAAATCTTTATTCTGAATATCAGCATCGGCCAAATTGTTATCGATTATATCAGCAATGGCCGAATCTTTATTCTGAAAATGGTTATCTTAAAGGTGGGGTAGGTAAGTTTGAGAAACCGGCTCGAGATACACTTTTTGTTATATTCCATGGAATGCTCTTAACATCCCGATAGCAATGAATATCTTAAGTGCTTTGACAAAAAATCCATAAAAAAAATGTCATCTGTGGAAGCCGTAGTACTGTAAAAAGCACAACCAATCTAAAATGATTGGATGGCCTACCTGCCTATCAGCCTTCCATCTGTGCACAAACGTATCTCGTGCCCTCATTGGTCATGTGCGCGTTCGTGTGTGTTGGAGGAGGGGCTCTGTAAGGAAGTGGCAGATTTTCTCCGGTTGTGTATTTTCAAATTCTAGCGATCTCGAGCCGGTTTCTCACACTTACCTACCCTACCTTTAAAAGTGGACCTATCATGCTATATTTGAATAATATATTGTAGGGCCATACCTATATAAAACATGTCTGTGAAGTTTTTTTTTCAAAATACCAAACAGTCTTTGCCTCATTTCACTCTATTTGCTTTTTTCCAGCCCTGTTTTTGGAAGGGCTGATTCTGTGAGAAGTCTTCTTCGCTACTTTTGTGGCAGACTACAGCGCCACTTACAGGCCTGGCATATGTACTACGGCGTCTCCAGCGCTTTCGAGCGGCAATGGCCGTGGCCCAACCCCCCATTCCCCTGATAGGTGGAGAGTTGCCCATATAGGCGGAGCTCCCTGTTTCTGACGTCAGAACAATTTCAAATCTGTATCAGCTCTGTTGCAGCCCCGTTTTTAGAGATTTGAGTATGGAGGAAAAGAGAGAGGGTTGTGCTTTCTGACACACCGGGGACACATATTCATGTGTAAAAGACGTACAAAAGTGCATTTTGCATGATAGGTCCCCTTTAAATATCAGCAATGGTCAAATCTTCATTCTGAATATCCGAAAAAGTGTCATTCTGAACATTGTTATCAGCCAAGTTGTTACTCTAAAACCTGGAATTGGCATCGGCTGGGAAAAATGAAATTGGTGCATCCCTAAAAAAAGCTGATGGAAAATCATGTACTGTTCTTGCTTAGGTTTCAAATATGTTTCACCACAAATGAAAAAACATGCCCAAAACTTGACAAGGTTCCAGCTGCCCATCGCGACATCGTGTCCATTTTAGTTTCACCTGTCCATCATACATCCAGGTGGATCCTCTGGTGGCGTTTCAGGTTACAATTCTGCGTGAAGCGTTTTCCGCAGGCCATGCAGCAGTACGGTCTCTCCCCGGTGTGGACCCTCCGGTGGGCCTTGAGGTTGCTCAGCTTGGTGAAGCTGCGTCCGCACAGGGCGCAGCAGAAAGGCCGCTCCCCTGTGTGCGTCTGTAGGTGGGCCTTCAGGTTGCTGGGGTGGGGGAAGCATCTCCCGCACTGACCACAGCGCAGGAGGTGCCTCGGTCCGGAGTCTGGGTGGGGTAAAGGGTTTGCGTGATGGGAGTTTTCGGAAGGATCTGTTTTGACGCTGACCCATGGGGCAGCGGTTCGGTTTTGTGCCTGTTGACCTCTCTGCAATGACAGTTGTGGAAATGGAGACGGAGCAGATTTAGACGTAGAGGGAGTTCTGTTGAGGGGGTTTCCAACGTGAGCTACAGACAGGGGGGAGCCATAGCTGTTGGCGTGAGCCGGCTTTTTCGTGGGTCTGTGGAAGTGCTGTAGGGCGCCATGCATTTTGAGACCTGTGCCTTTGTGGGAAATGTGGTTCTGCCTGAGTGCTTCCAAGCTCACTCTGTGCCGTTTTACTAAACACGAGAAAGACGTCATCCTAGACTTTTTCTTTCCTTTAGGCTCACTTTCCACGTAGCCGTCAGAATCAACAACCTCTTGCTTGATGGTCACACATGAGGCATCACTGTTTTGCAGTGCTGCCTTTGGGGACCGTGAGGATAACATGTGAACTCTTTCTGGGGTAACCACAACATCCACAGTAACAGTGGGACTACTAATTTTAGACAAATCACAGTCAATTTCTGTTGAAAGTCTGTGATTCGGTATCAGTTCAGGTGTTATGATCGCCCAACCATCGTCCACCTCTAAAGATGGATTCGTAACCACGTGAGCTTCTTCCTCTAATGCTGAAAAAGAGATTTGTGAGTCTTGCTTAATAACATTCCTAAATAATTCCTCAGTGTTTTCTTGAGTGTGTTTTGGTTGTGCCATCTCAGTAGAGCTGTGTGATTGAGGTCCTTCTTCACCTAAAAAAAACGGGATATATTAAAACATTATTTGGGATATTTTAGGTTCAGTTGTATAGTTTGATTTAAGCCAGCTTAAAATAAAAAAATTATAATATTGGTTTAAGTTTATGCGTTATTACGAATATTTCACAGCTTAACTTTGCTATCCAGCAACCCGGTCTTTCACAAAAACAGTAATTTGACCTTGCACAACACAGATGTCCCTGGTCTACAGCCATCTAATTTGCTAGTTATGGCGCGTTTCCACTACAGCACGCGCAGCACGGTTTAAGAGGGCTGTGACGTCAGCGGCCCGTCTTTGGTTGCGTTTCCACTTGGCCTAGTACCGGCCGGCGGGTCCTAATTCACAGTCTTTCTGGCCTCATAAAATCGCGGGTCCAGGGCCAGAGACAACGAGGCTGAGTCGGGCTGAGTATGCTAAACTAGAGAGAGCATCGCTGGCAAGGGGGCTACAACTACAACAAGATGGACATATTTGACCGTGATTTAATTGTAATACACGTTTCAAAATGATGCCGAAGTAACAACATACTGATACCGGTTAGTAAAAACCATGAATTAATGCTTTGTCAAGTCTGCAGACAGACGGCAGGCGAAAAACCTTTTAAAATGCTTGTTTTCTAAATGGAGATTGGCTAAGCTAACGCAGTATATGATCCGACCGTCCACACTCACAACAACGGCCTATACAGACATAAATAAAGCAGCGACTGTATTCACCATGACACAGGCAGTCTGTGGTTTGTACTTGTTTAACTTTTGTCTAGTTTCTGAACATATATGAGGAGCTGTGAGCTCTGAGTGCTAACAGCTAACGGCTGTGTTGTTTTTCTGGGGTTCTCTGAAGATCACGTCACGGCTCCGCCTACACTGCGTTACTATAGATACTGCCCCAGTTCCTAAACTGTAATGGAAATGCGCCATAAAGTGAGCCAGTCCTAACGAGGCCCAGCCATACCGAGCGGGGCCGAGCGAGGCCGTGTAGTGGAAACGCGCCATTAGTTTGTGTGACTTTGGTTAGCTTCCAACCTGCTACTCCTACTCCTGTGTTTATTTTGTTTCTGTGTGAGTTAAAGAGTGTGCTTATGGTGCTTATAG